AGAAGGCCAGTCTCCCTATGTACATAAATACAAAAATCCTCAGTAAGATACTGGCAAACAGAATACAGCAAATCATCTAAAAGATTATACCCCATGACCAGGGGGATTCAGGGATGCCAGGATGGCTCAATGTACACAAACCCCTTTGAGTATGACGCTTACTGGTGCAGTGGACACTCTCTTAGCCTCAGGCGTTCAGCCAGGGCATCAAGCTGCAAGGAATGTGACCCCACAGGGTCCAGAGCTAAGCAACACAGACGAATATTCAAGAAAAGTGAAAGTATGTAGCAAATTTGTTTAATGACTCCAAAGAAATGAAACCTTATGAAACATTATAAAAATTTTACCAATTGAATATCTTAGTGCTGCACATCTCTCTTGATTCCTTTAAAGCTGATATCCACACGGAAAATAATTCAGATTTTTAAAAAACAGATTAACATGCATTGGAATTCTTAATGTATTAGTAGCATCATTTATTTCTGCCATGCGAAAGCTACTGCTTGATTTTCTCCTTGCAGTGATCCGTCTTTCCTGAGCGGGGCTTACTTTTAGCTTAGCAGTCTGCATTTATCTGACAAAACAAAACAAAATGATGAAGTCAGTTCATTTAATTGAAAGGTCTGAAATACAGAATATATATTTTTAAATACAAAATTTTAAAATATTACTCTTAAGTATAAGCCAAGAACTAATACAAGTAAAAAGCGATTGAAAAAAATTGCAATTATAATATAGTTTTTCTTTATAATATAAACATTAGACCATTTTGGACATATTTATTATTCCTTTGGGTGTTGCTGAATGTACAGGACGTGCTTTTATCACTGAACTACATCTCCAGGCCTCTGTTTTTTAAATCTCAAGGTTGAAGTGATACCAAAAATGCCCTGGTCAGGGGCGTGGCTCAGTGGAAGGGTGCTTGCCTAGCAGGCCCAGGGCCCTGGCTTCTCTCCCCAGAATTGCCAAAGAAATAAAAGCATCAAAACTTAGCTTCTTAATATTTTTGTATTTATTTATTTATTTGGTGGAACCGGCAATTGAACTCAGGCCCTTGCGCTTGCCAGGCAAATGCTTATTCTACTGAACTATCTCCCTGGCCCCTCATATTTTTGTTTTTGGAAAACATTCCTACTCAAGAACTTGATTCAAGTTTGATTTCAGTTTGGATTCAGTGTCTTGGATTCAGCATCCAGTGCCTTTATCTGAGCTAATGCATCCTTTTTTTTTTCTTTCTTTCTTTTTTGAGTGAGACTCTAATTCACTAAATCACTCAGATTGGGCTGACGTTTTGACCCTTCTGTCTCAGCCTCATGTCTCAGAGTGCTGAGATTATGTGTATGCTATCATGTTGGATTCCATTCAAGTAGTTAAGACTATTGTTTTTATTCTTTAAAATTTCTATAACTATCACTGAATGATTTATAGATCCTTCATCTGTGCTGAACTGAGTTCTACAGTTTAGCCATGAGATTTACATGTACCCTAATACTCTCAAAAAGCCTACATGTTATTTTACCTGTAATGAGATAAAGCGTCTCACATTGTTTCATTTGCAATAATATGAAGTATTTATTGTATTTATTAGTAAGAAACTTTGTTTTATTATTTTAAAAAATCTACTTTTCCCATATCTCAGTGACTCAGAGTTGATTTGGAGCTACTTCTTCAATTTCAGAAGTCAGATTTTGAGTATGACAAATAGATCATAATTTGTCATTCTTTGTAGCTCTCTCAATGAAGCCCTAGTATTTGAAATTTCATCATTATACAGTATATCAACCAAAAAACAAAAAGTAAAACATTGATTTGATTTTTAAAGACTTTTTGTACAAATTTAGATTATACTGAGATGGAAAGGTGTGGGATTCTCCCCCTAGGTGGATGGAGGAGCCTACCTGGTTCCCTAGGGGCCACCTCTGTACTGTTCACCACCACAGAACAAGTTGAAGATACTATGAAGGGTGGCTGGGTATGGTGCCACACACCTGTAATCCTAGCTTTTGGGAGGCTGAGGCAGGGGAATTACCATGAGTCAGCCTGGGCTACATAGTGAGTTCAAGACCAGCATGCACTACATAGTAAGACCCTGCCTCAAAAAAAAAAAGAAGTGACAAAAGATGATATGGTGGTGCATGCCTGTAATCCCAGTACTCTGGATGGCTGAGGCAGGAGGATCACAAGATTGAGGCCATTCTGGGCAACTTAGTGACTCTGTTGCAACATAAATAATAAAAATAATAATTACATATATAGATGCAAAGGCCTGGGTTCAATCTCCAGTACAATACATACATATACTCACCCAAGTGACAAAGAACAGACACAGGCTAAGGAATATATGTAAAGGCCAAGGGCCGGGGAGATGGCTCAGTGGAATAAGCACTTCCCTGGCAAGTGCAAGGGTCTGAGTTCAATCCCTGGTTCCACCCCCCAAAAAAGAAAAAAAAATAAATAAAGGCCAAGTGATCATTTTTTACAGATATTTATTGTTCTTTGGCCACACTGTTCTCCTTTGCTGCATCAAGCATAACAGGTAGAGCCCTGTTAAATAAAGTAAATGCTCAACTGCTAAACTGGCTTCAGCAGCAAAGTGTCAGGAAGGTGGGTGGAAGTGTGGACACCTCTTGTCCCATCACCAGAACCGTAAGAAGGGCACGTGGCTCCTGCCGTGGGCATTCCGAGTCCACCAATCTTTCCTTCAGCTCTGTGCACAATACTCAAACCCTGAGTGCTTTACACATACGTGCACACTCAGACACACACAGAAACATGCACACACAATGTGAGCTGTGATGGGAGGGACAGAGAAACAAACAGCAAAAGCACAATGATTGAAGGCGGCTGCTTTCCTCTTTCTCCGGCCCTGGGTGTCAAGATGTTGGCATAGATGAGTTTTATTCTTCGCACCTCACTGCACATACGGTGTTTCAAAGTAGTATAGAAGGTCATGGGACCTACGTGACGTTGTGCAGGTTGTGTATTGTATTTAAGCAATGTGACCTGCGCACCCCACACCATGCAGCACATAAGCTGCACAGCTGTGACAGCCCAAGGAGTCTCCAAAAATACTCGTGCAACTTTGGCATGAAAGACAGAGGTCCTGGCTGCAGCGGTGAGGCTAAGAAGTGGTTGGGAAACACCATGGGGAGAGAGGAAGGAAGTGTTAGTCTGAGAATGAGAGGAGTCGAGGCAGTAGCCAGGGCGTGATTCTCTCCCTGTGCCTGTCCAGGAGTGCCTCCTTGGGCAGGTGTGACTTGTGACCCATTGCAGACCCTAGGACAGAAATCACAACAAATCCTTCTCCTTTAATACTGTGTTCTACCTCTTTGGTAGCGCATTAGAAATATTGAGTCAACTAATGAACAATTTCTAATTGTGTCTTACCTATTATTAAATCTGTAAAGGGGCATTTATTATTATTATTATTATCATCATCATCATCATCATCATCATCATCATCATCATCATCAGAGACCAGCTTTCACCATATGTACCCCAGGCTGGCCATGAACCCATGGCAATCCTCCTGCCTCAGCCTCCCAAACACTGGCATTACAGGCATATGCCACCTTGCCCGGTGTGAGGCTTACAATTTTTAAAATCCACTTACCCTTACGTTGTCTTACATGTCTTTCCACTGATTTTTTTTTTTTTTTTTTGTCTTTTCCTGTTTTCCTTTCCTTTCCTCACATTCTTTCCCCTGAGAAAGGAGGAGACAGATGAGGCAGAAGGTTCAGGAAATAGAAGAGAATTTTATATGAGCAGAGAGGAGGGCAAAAGGGGAAAGGAGAGGATGAAGTGAGGTCGGTAGGGGCAGGGAGAGAGGAAATGAGAAAGAGAGCGGGGCGCAAAGAGGAAAGAAAAAGGCACAGGACAAAGAACTTAATTTGGGTCTTAAATTCAAATTATGTTCCAACTACGTCATCAAAAACATTTTTATCTTTTCCAGCAGCACTCACTGTTAGTTAACAAACTTATTTCCTTTCAGGGGCCTCCCTCTCTTTCTTTTTAGCCTCAGTTTCATAAACAGAGAGTGAACCTGGCTGCTTAGGAGTCTAAGGAATTTGATTTATAATATTTAAGAGGAAAGTGGAAAAGAAAGGTAAGGGCAAGAAGCAAATGCTCAACATTTCAGAAGTAATTTTCTCCCCCGCCAAATCTTTATCCTTTTTGTACCATTTCTTTTCATCTTGGAAAAACACGATAGTATCATAGATCAGCCTATCCCTTGTGCTCCCTATGAGGAAGTAGAAAAAATAAGGAGAATAAAGCCTCGAGAGGTAAGAAATTAAAAGTCAAAAAAGATAGATGAACTCAGATTTAGAGAGAGAAGCTCAGGCTGGGACCTGCCAGGGGTTCACTGGCTGGCCATAAAAACTGTTTGAAGTGCCACGATTCCAGAACCTTCCACAGAAAGAGGATATAATTCAAGCTGCTGAGAGGTGAAATAAACACATTTATAGTTCAGGCTCCCAACTAGCACAGCCCAGGACCTGGGTGAATGCTGATCCGAGGAGCTTAAGGTGCCAGGAATTTGTTTTTTATCAGCTGGGGAGCAGTTTGGCTTCTACCTTTGGAATTACAGACTCATTTTTAGTCTATGCTTAGATTAAATTTAATGAGATGAGGGGTTAAGGCTTGGCTAATCTTTGTTTTTCAGTGTGTGAAGAGCATTATGGGTTAATAAGAGTGCGTGAGAGGGGTGAATGTGATTCAGAGGAGGGTGAAGTGGGGGAAAGAAATGCTAATCAAGGGGAAAACTGAAAAACTATTCAAGCCTAAGGACAAAAAATAAAGGAAAGACATGGGAGAGAAAAGTAGAAACAAGAAAGTACATGAAAGAAAACAAACAGAGAAAACAGTTAATACTTCGCAGGAAACTGCCAATTTTGTATATTGTACTACCCTTGTGGCCTACCGCACCCGAAGTAGGACTTCGCTGCTACTTGGCCGTATCTCCTTCCTGGCTTCCAGAGCCCTATTTCCAGCTGCTATTTAGCTCTACCAAGATGGGCACTCAGGACCACAAGACAGTCAGCTCCTAACTGCCACAAAGGCCCTGTGACAACCGGTCACATCCTCCTTGCCCGGTGCCCCGCCCTGTGCCCACATGTTTTACTTGAGGAATCTGAGGTGGAGCAGAGGAGGTGAAACGCTCACGTAATGGAGGAAGTGCACTTCGAACACAAACCCTGGGCTGGTGCTTTCAGCTTCAGTGTTCAATAGCTGAATTCCTCACTGTTCCCTTCCAAAGTTCCTCCCATTCCTTTTCCCAGGATGTTCCATGGACCTGTGCCTCCTACTCGTGTTGTCTCCCAAACTCTTATTCCCAGTTTCTTTCCTTGTCTCTAAAAGTGGGCTATCAATTACTCGTCCACTCTATGATCGTGTCCTTCATTCCATCTATTTGTTTGTTGTTTGTTTATGACAGGGTCTCACTACATAGTTCAGGCTGGCCTTGAACTCACAATGTAACCCAGGCTGGCCTTGTACCCATGGCGATCCTCTTGCCTCAGCCTCCTGATTGCTGAGATTATGGGGTGTGTGCCACCAACCCTCCTCCTTCTTTCTGTTCCAACTGCTTACTTGGCTCATGACTTTGGCCTTCTCTGCCTGGCCTATTACCCAGCTTCTTAAGGGTCTCTGGACGTGTAGCCCCCTCTCTCTTTTGGTAGAGATTATGGTCAGCACATCTCCCTAACACATGACACTACTTTTTTCTTTTTCCTATCTCTCAGTAGCTCCTCCTTAGCTTCCCAACGCTGCATCCAGATTTCTAAATGAGATTTGAATTTTCCATAATCTGGTTCCTGCCTTGCCTTCCCAGGGCCTCCACTACAGCTCCTGACCTGAACCGTCATTGTCTGATCTGACTCACAGACTCTCCTTTCCCAAGACATCCTCTGTTTTCTAAATCAAATCTGTTGTCCCTTTACAGCCTTTCTTGATTTCCCTTCCTAGGCTAAAGTGCTCCCCACTTTTCTCTTAAAGCTTAATCATTTATGTTAGTAAGTAACAATAACTTATGTGGTTAAATGACATAGTGATTTATGATATTTGTGCATATGTCTTAAGGCCAGGTAACATATCTCTGTCTGTCTGTCTGTCTGTCTGTCTGTCTGTCTGTCTGTCT